TGTACTGCAGATGTGAGGGGGGAGGGGGGGGGGCTGAGAAAGGCAGGAGAGGAGCAGTGTATACAGTCACTGGCTATCACTATAGGTCAGTGCCGGTTTTTAAATGCAATTGCCGTGTTTTTTTTTTTCTTCACTATAGCACAGCGAATCAGCTGTCACTTTCCCCAAGCTAAAAGAAACCAAGTTTCATTCATTCTTTGAGCTATGGTGAAGGGAAAAAAAACAAAAAAAACAGGCAATTGCATTTAAGCGCCGCCACCGACATACACTGACAGCCAGTGAGGGAGCCTCTCTGTATACACTGCTCCTCTCCTGTCCCCTCCTTGCACACACTGCACCCCCCCCCCCCCCCACAAAGATGGCCTGTCACTCATATGCTATCACATAGGGGACTACTTGTCCCCTATGTGATGGCAAAAAAATAAAAAAATACAAGAAAGTAGAAAACAAAAAAAAAAAAAACAAAAATTGGAGCCTCCCCAACCCCACACACGCAGACATTTCGGTTCAGTTTGATTTTCAGTCACATGCATTCTGAATCTTTGGTGTCGGTTTCGACACCAGAATTTTCATTTTGGCGGACCACTACGTGAAATGATGCAAAACATGTCAGAGCAGAGTATAGAACACCTCTAGAAAGGAATGCATTGGAAGAGGACATTGTAGAGGTCATTGTAGTGTGAATGTGTATGTAGTAACCGTGTACAGTCACACCACGTCAAGGACATGGCACTGATCTCCGGGAGGTTGACGAGATGTCATGTGCTCGATAGGTAGGGATATAGAGAGAGATAACATAGGGGAATGATAGGTAGATAGATAGGATATAGGGGATAGATAGGTAGATAGATAGATAGATAGATAGATAGATAGATAGATAGATAGATAGATACTTGTGTATGCATCTCTATCTATGTCTGGTTAGATAGATGATAGAATAGATACAATAGACAGACTACATTCACGTGACTACATTTAGCTGTGGTCAGACGTGACCTCCAACATACATAGTTAGTCTGGCTGAAAAAAGACAACTGAATTGCACAGGGCTCGGCGGATGCAGCTAGCCGCTCACAGGTGTCAATCACAGCTACAGGAATGGGTAGATTTCCTACCTCTGCTATTCACACCGGAGCAAAATACCTGTGTCAACGTAGCCTTAGATAAAGAGGGAGAGAGAGAGAGAGAATAGAGAGTTTACAAAAAAGGAATGGTATGGCATAGAATAGAATACAAAAAAGGAATGGCATGGAATAGAATAGAGAACAGGAAAGAATAGATTAGAATAGAAGGAAGGAATGATATGGCACAGCATGGAACAGAACAAAATACAAGCAAGGAATGGCATGGCAAAGAATAGAATAAAGGAATAGCATGGTGTGGAATGGAATAAAGAACTGAATAAATACAAAAAAAGGTTTGGCATGGAATTGAAAAGAATATAAAAAAATTGAATGGCATTGAATAGAATGGAAGAAAGGAATGGCATGGAAGAGAATGTAAAAACAGAATGCCATGGAATGGAATACAGAATAGAAGGGATGGCATGCAATGGAATAGAGAATAGAATACAAAAAAATAATGGCATGGCATAAAATAGCATAGAAAGAAAGGAATGGTGTGAAATGGAATAAAGAATAGAATAGAATGGTGTGAAATGGTATAAAGAATTGAATAGAAAAAGGGAATGGTATGGAATAGAATGCAAAAAAAGGAATGGAATACAAAAAAAAGGAAAGGAATAGAAGAAAGGAATGGCATGGCATGGCATGGAATAGAATACAGAATAGAATAAAGGGGTGGCATGCAATGGAAGAGAATACAAAAAAATAATGGCATGGCATACAATAGCATAGAGGAATGGAAAAAGAGAATGGTATGGAATAGAATACAAAAAAAGGAATAGCATGGAATAGAATAGAAGGAATGGCATGGATTAGAATAGAAAAAAAGGAATGGAATAGAATACAGAATATAATAAAGAGGTGGCATGGCATGGAACAGAATACAGAATAGAATAAAGGGGTGGCATGGAATAGAATACAATAGAATAGAAGGAATGGCATGGAATAGAATAGAAGGAATGGCATGGAATAGAATAGAAGGAATGGCATGGAATAGAATAGAAGGAATGGCATGGAATGGAATAGAAAAAAGGAATGACATGGCATTGAATAGAATACAGAACAGAATAAAGGGGAGGCATGGCCTGGAATAGAATACAATAGAATAAAGGGGTGGCATGGAATAGAGAATAAAACAAGATACAAATAAGGAATGGCATGGAACAGAAAAAATGAATAGCATGTCGTGGAATGGAATAGAATAGAAGAAAGGAATGGCGTGGCAGAACAGATAAGTATGTAGTAACCAGGTACAGTCAGATGAAGACATGGATAGAGATGCATAGAGAGAGGGAGGAAGATGGATCCACGTGTAGTAACCATGTCCGGTCACACTGTCACAACGACACATGACTGAACCCTGGAAGGGTGATGTATTCCTGTGAGGCTGCAGATGTAATATACAGAATATCCAGGAAATCTATACCTGTGTACTAATCACCCCTCATGTATGACCACATGGCTGCAGCACAGATCAGACTTCTGTAGACATGAAGGTGTCATTACAGAGATCAGACATAGAATGTGCTATATATGTAGACATGTAATGTGTATATGTAGTCATGGTGTCCCGTGTATGATCACATTGCTGCAATATACATACATGCACAGGTATACATATCTCCTTACAGAGATCAGACACAGAATGTGCTATATATGTATATTATACATACATGTAATGTCTATGTAGTAACCATAGACGTGTATAATCACATCGCTGCAATACTCACACACGCAATATTGTACATATATATCTATCTCGGTTATAGCACATGTATGATCACACTGACAACACAGATCAGAGTTCCATAGAGCTGAAGGTGTGATTACATGGAAGAGCTCATTACAGACAGAATGTGATGTATGTTCAATGAAGACATGTAATGTGTGTATGAAGTCATTGTGTCCCATGTACAATGACATTGCTGCACATACATGCACTGGTACACATATGTAGTCATCATGTACACTGATGCAGAAGAGATCAGACTTCTGTAGACATGAAGTTGTCATTGCAGAGATCAGACGCAGAATATGCTCTATATGTACACATGTAATGTCTATATAGTAATGGTGTCCTGTGTATGATCGCATTGCTGCGTGGCACAGATATGTAGTAGTCATGTTGCATGTATGATCACGTTGCTGCATGGCACAGATATGTAGAAGTCATGTTACATGTATAATCACACATGTATAATCACACTGTTGCATGGCACAGATATGTAGTAGTCATATTACATGTATGATCACATTGCTGTGTGGCACAGATATGTAGTAGTCATGTTACATGTATAATCACATTGCTGCATGGCACAGATATGTAGTAGTCATGTTGCATGTATGATCACGTTGCTGCATGGCACAGATATGTAGTAGTCATGTTGCATGTATGATCACGTTGCTGCATGGCACAGATATGTAGTAGTCATGTTGCATGTATGATCACGTTGCTGCATGGCACAGATATGTAGTAGTCATGTTGCATGTATGCTCTTGATGCTGCATGGCACAGATATGTAGTAGTCATGTTTCATGTATAATCACACTGTTGCATGGAACAGATATGTAGTAGTCATGTTACATGTATGATCACGTTGCTGCATGGCACAGATACGTAGTAGTCATGTTGCATGTATGATCACGTTGCTGCATGGCACAGATATGTAGTAGTCGCCATGTTGCATGTATGATCACGTTGCTGCATGGCACAGATATGTAGTAGTCATGTTGCATGTATGATCACGTTGCTGCATGGCAGATATGTAGTAGTCATGTTGCATGTATGATCACGTTGCTGCATGGCACAGATATGTAGTAGTCATGTTGCATGTATGATCACGTTGCTGCATGACAGAAATATGTAGTAGTCATGTTGCATGTATGATCACACTGTTGCATGGCACAGATATGTAGTAGTCATGTTGCATGTATGATCACGTTGCTGCATGGCACAGATATGTAGTAGTCATGTTACATGCATGATCACATCGCTGCATGGCACAGATATGTAGTAGTCATGTTACATGTATGATCACACTGTAGAATGGCACAGATATGTAGTAGTCATGTATGTATGATCACGTTGCTGCATGGCACAGATATGTAGTAGTCATGTTACATGCATGATTGCTGCATGGCACAGATATGTAGTAGTCATGTTACATGCATGATCACATCGCTGCATGGCACAGATATGTAGTAGTCATGTTACATGCATGATCACATCGCTGCATGGCACAGATATGTAGTAGTCATGTTACATGCATGATCACATCGCTGCATGGCACAGATATGTAGTAGTCATGTTACATGCATGATCACATCGCTGCATGGCACAGATATGTAGTAGTCATGTTACATGCATGATCACATCGCTGCATGGCACAGATATGTAGTAGTCATGTTGCATGTATGATCACGTTGCTGCATGGCACAAATATGTAGTAGTCATGTTGCATGTATGATTACACTGTTGCATGGCACAGATATGTAGTAGTCATGTTACATGTATGATCACGTTGCTGCATGGCACAAATATGTAGTAGTCATGTTGCATGTATGATTACACTGTTGCATGGCAAAGATATGTAGTAGTCATGTTGCATGTATGATCACGTTGCTGCATGGCACAGATATGTAGTAGTCATGTTGCATGTATGATCACGTTGCTGCATGGCACAGATATGTAGTAGTCATGTTACATGTGTGATCAGCCTGTACACTGTGAAGGTCTCCTGGTCCCATATGTGTCCTCTGTATGTCATGTCTTGCAGTCCCACCTGTCGGGGATCGGCCGTCACACACCATCGGATCGCACACACACGTGTTAAAGGACATCTCCTCCCATGGCCGCACACAGCCCGGCTCACTCACCTTCAGCAGATCCAGCGGGTGGGTGCAGCAGGCCGCCCCGCAGGAGGCCAGGCCCCCGAAGTACCACCGTGACACCCGCCGCTCCGCCATCTCCGGGCTCCTCTCTCCCGGATCCGGGCGAGCTGGACAATCCAAGGGCCAGGGGCGGGGCTGGACCCGGGAGAACGAGAAGAGCCGAGGCCAATCCGCGAGCAGCGTCAGGCGAGGCCCCGCCCAGCCAGCGCTGCTAATCCACGAGACGCGTCCGTGTTAAAGCGGCGACGGGGAGGAGTGGTGGGCCCGGGGGACACGTGCTGCAAGGCAGGTCTGCGCGGGCTGGAAGTGGGTGAAAGGGCGGCCAGGGGGTGTAGGAGGGTGACAGGTCCCCGGAACGGGGCTGACAGTGTGATCGATCAATGGAGACCATGGGGAGAACCAATATGCAGAGGAACGGATCAATCAATGGAGACCAAGGGGGAGAACTAATACGTGGAGGATCGATCGATGGAAACCATGGAGAGAACCAATATGCAGAGGAATAGATCGATCAATGGAGACCAAGGGAAGAACCAATATGTGGAGGAACGGATCGATGGAGACCAAGGGAAGAACCAATATGTGGAGGAACGGATCGATGGAGACCAAGGGGAGAACCAATACGTGGAGGAACGGATCAATCAATGAAAACCATGGGGTGAACCAATACATGGAGGAACGGATTGATCAATGAAAACCATGGGGTGAACCAATACGTGGAGGAACGGATCAATCAATGAAAACCATGGGGTGAACCAATACGTGGAGGAACGGATCAATCAATGAAAACCATGGGGTGAACCAATACGTGGAGGAACGGATCAATCAATGAAAACCATGGGGTGAACCAATACATGGAGGAACGGATTGATCAATGGAGAGCAAGGGAAGAACCAATACGTGGAGGAACGGATCGATAACTGCGATCCGCGCATGGGAGTCCTCTGTGTGGCGGGCTGGCTGCAGTCCGGGGAGATGTGACGGTTGGGGGATAAATCCGTCCTGTGATTGGTCGCCACCGTCTCCCTCTAATCATAACCAATATCAGGATTCACACCCCAAAGTGGCGTACGCAGCACACAGGCCACACAAGACCCCCCCGACTCTCTGTGTCCGGCCCCCCGACTCTCCCTGTGTGGCCCTCCGACTCTCTGTGTGTGTGCGGCCCATCGGTTCTCTGTGTGTGGGCCATTGGTTCTGTATGTGTGGCCCACCGACTCTCTGTGTGTGCGGCCCACCGGCTCCGTTTGTTTGCGGCCCACCGCCTCTCTGTGTGTGTGGCCCACTGGCTCTCTGTGCGTGTGGCCCACCGGCTCTGTGTGCAGCCCACTGACACTGTGCGGCCCATCTGTTCTCTGTGTGCACTTTGTTTGCAGGCCAATTACTGTCTGTGTGCAGCCCACCATGTTCTGGGCTGAGCCATCGCCTCTTGGGTACCTGTGAACTTTGCAGAGTGCTAGGTAATAAAACACTGTGTGATCTCTGCCCGACAGAAACAGCATAGCCCCTCCTGGGTTATGACAGCCACCCGTCCCTCTGCTTTCCTCTTGTCTCAGACAAGTGCCTGGAGCCGGAGACAAGCGCTAGAATCAAGCAGACGTCTCCTTCTAGCTACAGGGCCGGGACAAGGGGGGGGGGGGGGCAGAGGGGCGGCTGCCCTGGGCGCAGTGATTTACTGTAGGGAAGAGGGCACCTTCCTTCTGTTACACGGCTGACAAGTAGTGACAGCGGCAGTGATTTTGGCCAGCGAGTGACTGCTGGGCGTAGGATCCCCTAAGCTTGCACATCACAAATGGGGGGGGGGACACGGTTTGGCATCTTTGCCCTGGATGCTGGATGACCTTGTCCTGGTACTAGCTATATTGACTGACAGCCTCCCCCCCCCCCCCCCCCCCCCCCCCCCCCCCCACCATGGCTTTCAGAGAGATGAGAGGCTCACACTCCCCCCTCCCTCTCCATTTCTCTTGCCACCACTTGTCCAAGGAAAGTGCTTGGATTATACAAAGTGCAGGTTATCAAGCAGCATTGTCACATGGCCACAGGAGACGCCCTGTCCAATCTTGTATCTAGGATTACAAAGCAGGTAGGGACATGAGACGAAGTCCTACATATACATGTCCTCTGAGGGACAGGACACTACAGGAGAATTAAAGTGAGAGTTCTCCTTTAATATCCCTTTCAGGCAAGATAATTGCAGTGTAGACCAGGGGGACTGAATTACAATTCACGGAGGTCCGCTTGGTAACATCTTTCTGCAGAGGTCCGAAACTCATATTTCTTCTATTGCTCAGGTCTTTCACATCACAGCCGCCCGCTTTACATTGTTGTCCTCAGTCCCCCCTTTCCCATCACAACTCCCCCTATAACAATCCCCCATTTCACAGCTCCCTCCCTCTTCACAGCCCCCATAGCACAGCTCCCCCCTCTCACATCACAACCCCCCAATTTCACAGCTCCCTCCCTCTTACTTCACAGCCCCCCATATCACAGCTCCCCCCTCTAACATCACAACTCCCCCCCTATAACCGTTTCCCCCCCTCTCACAGCTCCCTCCCTCTCACATCACAGCCCCCATATCACAGCTCTCCTTCCAACATCACAGACCCCCAGTATTACAGCTCCCCCCTCTCACATCACAACTCCCCCTTTTCACAGTCCCCCATTTCACAGCTCCCTCCCTCTTCACAGCCCCCCATATCACAGATCCCCCCTCTAACATCACAACTTCCCCGTATCACAACCCCCCATTTCACAGCTCCCTCCCTCTCACTTCACAGCCCCCCATATCACAGCTCTTCTTCCCACTTCACAGCTCTCCTTCCCCACAACAAACCCCCCCAGTATTACAGCTCCCCTCTTGCATCACAACTCTCCCCTATACAGCCCCCCCCTCTCACATCACAGCCCCCCATTTCACAGCTCCCCCCTCTCACATCACACAACACCTCCATATCACAGCTCCCTCACTTAACAGCTCCCCACTCTCACTTCACAGCCCCAATATCACAGCTCCCTCTCTCTCACTTCACAGCTCCCCATATCACAGCTCCCCCTTTCACTTCAAAGCCCCCCATATTACAGCTATCCCTTCGAACAGCCCCCCATATCACAGCTTCCCCCTCTCAGCCCCCCCCACATCACAGTTCCCCAATCTCACAGCCCCCCCCCCCCCATATTACAGATCCCCCCTCGGATATCACAGCTCCCTCTACCCCATAATCTTCCACATACCTTAACTCAGCCTTGTGGATGGCGGGATGAATTGCGGGGTGGACTCCTGTTCTGTATGTACTCACCTGCCACCGCCTTTGTCGCCACTGCTGTTGAAGTCGCAGTATCTGCCCTGGAATAAATATCAGCCTTCTGGTCGCTTTCCTAAAAATAATGTGGGCAACTAGTCCTATTGTTACTGGCAAGGTCTATAAAATACTGATAAGCTGCCAGTGGGCTCGTCTGCAGGAATCTTCACCTGTCCTGTCCCATTGGCTACACAATGCAATCCTTCATGTTAAAGGAACATCAGAAAATTCAGACGTCTGAGGGTGGTCTGATCATTCCTACATGTCTCCCCATCCCTGAGGTCTGCAGCTGCTGTGACAGCGCCGGACCCTGCCACTGTGTAAAAGAAACCAAAAGTGAAATAGGGTTTGCAGTAGGGTTGACACCTCATCCCTTAAAACCCGAACACATATGAATTACACAGGTTCTGGGGGGCTGATTAAAGTGGTAATTAAACTCTGTGCCTTATCTGCATTAACTTAGTCCCAGAATCTGTGTAATTCATATGTGTTCAGGTTTAAAGGGATGACGTGGCAACTCTAGTTCACAGGAATGCAGAGTGCGGGCCTCTGGAATATTGGTGTTTAGTGGAGAAAACTGTTTTTCAGTTTTCTCTGGGTTTTGTATTTCCAGATTGAGTCCAAAGGCTTCAAAGAGTCTTGGGTGCGATGAGCCTTTAATCCAGTGTCTAGGTCTTGTTGGAGCTCTAGTCAGGAGACAGTTGTGCTCTACTCAGGAGACTGTAGCACATGCTGGAGTCAGGAGGTTCTGTGTCTAGAGGACTGAGAGAGTCGAGACAACTGAGCAAGTCTAGAAGACTAAGAAAGTCAAGACAACTGAGCGAGTCTAGAGGACTGAGAGAGTCAAGACGATTGAGGGAGTCTAGAGAGCTGAGAGATTTGAGACAAATGACCGAGTCTAAAGGACTGAGAGATCTGAGTCAACTAAGCACGTCTAGAGGACTGAGAGAGTTGAGACAACTGAGAGTCAAGATGACTGAGAAAGTCTAAAGGACTAAGAGAGTCAAGGCGACTGAGCAAGTCCAGAGCAAATTGAAATGGCTGAGCGAGTCTAGAGGACTGAGAGGTTCAAGGCAACTAAGCAAGTCTAGAGGTCTGAAAGAGCTGAGATGACTAAGCATGTCTAGAGGACTGAGGGAGTTGAGATGACTGAACAAGTCTAAAGGACAGAGAGGGTTGAGACGACTGAGTGATTCCAGAGGACTGAGAGAATTGAGACAACTGAGCGAGTCCAGAGGACTGAGAGTTAAGAAGACTTGAGTGAGTCCAGAGAACTGAGAGAGTTGAGAAGACTGATCGAGTCCAGAGAACTAAGAGAGTTGAGAAGACTGATCGAGTCCAGAGGACTGAGGGAGTTGAGAAGACTGAGCGAGTCAAGAGGACTAAAAGAGCCGAGATGACTGAGCAAGTCTAGATGACTGAAGGGGTTGAGGCAACTGAGCGAATCTAGAGGACTGAGCAAGTCAGGATCACTGAGCGAGTCTAAAGAACTGAGAGAATTGAGGTGACTGAGCAAATCTAAAGGACTAAGAGAGTTGAGAAAACTGAGCAAGTCTAGAGGACTGAGGGAGTTGAGATGACTGAATAAGTCTAAAGGACAGAGAGGGTTGAGACGACTGAGTGATTCCAGAGGACTGGGAGAATCTAGACAACTGAGCGAGTCCAGAGGACTGAGAGTTGAGAAGACTGAGTGAGTCCAGAGGACTAAAAGAGCCGAGATGACTGAGCAAGTCTAGATGACTGAAAGGGTTGAGGCAACTGAGCGAATCTAGAGGA